TTTTTTTTCTAACAAAAACAGGTTTTCTAGAGTACCTATGGGCTCACATGCTGTGAAGAAGCTAATTAAAAAAGTATGTGGAATTTAAAACAATGATACTTTGTATAAATAGAAACATCAATACGTACCAACTTCGGCTACTTATTAAGCGCAAAACTTTAAAATTCTTTAAAAAACATTTAAGGAAGAAATCTAATGAATCACGAACTCATCATGAATGTACCCACGACCAGATTCAATGACGGAACGTCATAAAATAGACTTGATAGAAGATTTTGGTTTTGATCGTTTTGAAAAAAAAAACGTTGCTCTTTTGAGATATCGAAAGTTTTCGAACAACTACGATCATCGCTTACAAGACAGCAGAACAAGGAGATGGGTAAGAGGGGATTTACGTTAATGAGCCCTGAACAAATGGAAAGACTTCACAAAGATCAAAGTTTGTTTTTCATGGCTTGTACATCCAAAAATGCTGTTGGCTGATGAATTTCAAATTAAAGAAGTGCATGAGCCAGCCATTCAAGAACAGGTAAGCATGTACAAAACCCTGCCTGCCGGCAAACGAGAAGAAGTCCTGTGGGAATCTATAGCACAGATAGCCGGCGGGAGGAAGGTAAGTAAACCGCATTCAATTCTACATCAAGGACTTGTGGAATTTCAGCGCCGGCGTCGCACGAAAAGACAATTTCAAACGCTTGTTGTTGCAAAGCCTTACATCCTGGCTCCATATCAATTTGCGCCTATATACGGTTTCACCCTCTTAGGCCCTGTGATCCTCTCTCCAAACATATTTTCTCCACTTATTCTGAATCCTGCCGCTCTTGGACCTTGGGTGTTGTCACCAGCAATTCCTCTTCCCTTCATTCTTTCGCCATATGTATTTTCTCCTTATATTTTAAATCCTGTAGGTATGGCTCCTTTTGTACTTACTCCCTATGCTCTGTCCCCGAATATAGTCACTCCTTATATGCTATCACCTGTGATTCTCAGCCCACTTGTACTATCCCCGGATTTGCTATCCCCCATGTTGCTTGGTGGACCTATTTTGTCGCCCAGCGTTCTTTCACCATCAGTCATGTCGAAAAGTTATCTCATGGCCAGTATTTTGTCTCCTAGTTTGCTTTCACGATAGCAATATAGCAATTTTAGTGCACTTTGTTACGTAGGCTGTAGACGTTGAGAATCTTGTGCCTTTCATTGTTTTCGTTTTTTTTTTGTTTTTTACTAATAAATTTATCTTCTACAGTAATAGGAAAAGATAATTCTTAACGAGAAGATTACTTTTAATTCTAATGGTATTGAAAGGACTTTAGCTATTTAGCTAGCCATTTATTCTTAATGGAGCATTAATTGAAATGCTCCACTGAAAAAAAAAAACCAGAGGATCATGCATCTTCCACCGAACCAAAAACATTTTCAGTCTTCACATCTGAGGTATATAATTCTTCTCCAAGCTCAAGCAAAAGCAAAAGCGAGCTCTTGTATGAACAACGAAATTCTGAAGTTTTGTTACAGAATGAACCAGAAAATCTCTCTCTTCTAATAGGTTATATTTCTCAGAAAAATTTTAATTACAGTCGAAGCAAGAGCTTGCAAATCGAAAAAAAAGCATTCGCAATAGTTTTGACGTTAGAAAAAGAGTTAATGAAAAACTGCATGATGACGATAATAAGTATAGCATCCAACTGCTAATTAAGATAATGAATTCAAATTTCAAATTGTAATAGCTATCGCTCGCTAGGTGGCACATGTCTCCCTGTAGGTCAGCGATTGCCTGTGGTGAAAGCATGGCAGGGCCCTGGCAAGGCACTCCATGTTTGGGAGACTGTT